CTCATTAGTTGCAATGAACTCAGAACCGCCAGGCACATGTGGATCTTTGTGGCTATCCTCAGGTCTTCTGTTCCGCTGCATTCCACTGCTAGTGGATAGAGCAAGTCCGATAGATCATGCATTGTTTGAGCCCTGCTTAAGAGCTCCCAGGGAACTATTAAATTTGACAGTGACTGCTTCATAGCTTCCTGGGCTTATGACTGCAATGATTAGAAAACATGCAAGCAACACTGACAGAGAGAAGACTCTGCTGTAGTCCAGGAATCAAATTCTCGTTCTTACCTAGTACTCCCTTTAAAAATGGATGCATTCACTTCAGCAGAAGTGATAAATGAGGACTGACTAGGAGTTGGGAAAATGTATGTCAGCATAGATAACAAGTACTCAGTTCAACAGCGATATTCAATTCAATGATTCATGTCCTGACTTTTTGGAAAAAGTCTTACTTGAATAAAACTATATAGTAGAAGCTTTGGAATAAAGTCACCAGGACAGACAGACAGCACAGGCTCATGGTGGGGAGATCCAGAGCCCCCCAAATATCTGAGTTACACAAAAGACTTAGCGTGGATTGAAGTGTGATATATTATCAAATACTTTGTGTTTCAAAGGTACGATTTCTTAGAAACCATCTTATGAGACAGCAAAGAATGCTGTAGGAAGGGGTGCTGGGAACACTGCCCTAGACGGAATGTTGGCTCTTTACTCACCATGTGACCTGAATTATATCACTTTCTCAGTGTTCTCTATTTGGTTGTATAATAGGGAAGTAATTTAAAAGCATAACAGGGCTCAGACAAAGTTTATGGTCAATAAAAATATCTACTGTTACTATTATTACCATTCAAGCTTTCAAATTAACATAGACCTTACACAGAATAAATTCATGTCCATTGTAGCGGGTGTAGGAAGGTTCATTTATGATTCTTTCTCTTAAAACAGCAGTAAATAAACCCGAGTCTTAAGAAATTTCATTGCACAAATTGCTTTGATTCCAGACAAAAAGATCAGTAAAGATGATAATAGAACACTGGATAATACCAATATGTATGGCCATTAAGATATGAAATATGAGGCAATGCCAAATGGCTTTATGACACTTAATGATTAGGCAATATTCTGTCTAATATATTAAAGATCAATTTTGATGTAGACATTTTCCTATATATTACAACTAGCACAGATTTTTTTCCTAACCACCCAGCTGCTATAATGTTAAATAAATTAATTTTAATCTTAAATCAGAGATGTAATAGAGACAGGGTGACTTAATATGCAATCTCATTATGTTTGACAGGCTTATTTATAAATGATCTGCCCACATTTTGACAAGCATAGTTAATATGTTAATTAGCTTTAAAAAAGATGATGATAGGAAGTGCTTGACAAACCATCATTCTTTGCGCACTGTGTTGGGGGTGCTGCGGTTGATACTGCGACACCCCTCTAAAGCACAAAGCCTTTGAGGAGATAATCATTTATTAACAACAGATAATTTAGCTACCTGATATTAAAAATTAATCCGGTAAAATAATCCCCAACAATGTCCTGCTTTAGAGAACCCGAGCAGCTGCAAACGCAGGTCAGAGCATCCAGAGAGGAAATGAGCTTATTTCAAATCCCAGCTCTGCAGAAAGAACCGTGCTCTCTAGTCAGCAAAGAGTTACACAGATATGCTGCCCTCACGTCCATGCTCCCTTCCTGTGCTCCTCAGAACCCATGAGTCTCTCTGGTTTAGAAGCTTAGCAAAGCTTTTAAATGCTCTGACGTTCAAGGAGCTACGCAATCCAAGCATTAACAGACGCTTTACAAGAGGCAATGTTCAATTTGATTTTGCTGCTTAGATCTTCATTCATGAAAGGAAACAAAGGTACCAAAACTACCATGATGCGCTCTTAACTTGTACTTTGCATTCACACATCACCATGGTGCTGGCGACACACAGGAGAAGCTCCTAGCGGTGCCAGGTCTGATTTCCATCACACGCTGACACTGTTATTGCATATGTGTCTTCATTAATATCTTTAGTGCCTGTGGCTATTGGACGCTGTGTAGGGATCATCAGTTCTTAGTTACTCCAGCCCCAGGATAGCAAATGAACTGTAAAAATAGCCTGAAACTCTGCCACCTGCCTCCCCACTGCTGTCCTTGGGTTAATATTTGTATTTCTTTTTGGTGCAGCTGAGCCATGACTCAATTACAATCCCATTTCCAGGTGTCTGAATAGCCTGCATCGATGCCATTGATTATGCAAAAATCAGCTCCCTGTGAACGCCCCCCTCATGGGAAAGACACATACATTTTTACCTGATTGAAAAATAGCAGAGTGGCTTTTAGAAAATTGCTTGGAATGAAATCAGATTCAGAATGACAGGCATAGCACAGACATAACTTAGATTTTAGAGCTTGGAAGTGAACTGAAAATAAGCATGGGAAGCTCAAACCTAACACACTTGTTATTTGTTTCTGGCAATGAGTAACGTTGGCATGGGGACAAGGGGGCATTTGGGGTCCCCTATTTTCTATCAGATTTCCCCTTTCCTCTTAAATAGCAGGCTTCTTCATATGCTTCTATTATGCCTCTGTTCAAAGTAAATTGGCAGCGAGTGCCCAAACCATCTCTCACACACAGAGAGAGGTAAAGCAGGGCAGATTAGAAAACAGTGCATGCCAGAAACCAACATATGAGAAAGTCAGAGCCCATCTGTCCTCAGAACTATACAAAGCACCCCAGTGTGTGTGTGCGCACATGTGTATATGTGTGTGTATGTGAGAAAGTGAATGTATATGAAGACAGAGGTCAGCTTTGGGTGTTGTTTCTCAGGAAGCTCTCTACCTGTGCAGGGGAGGGCAGTTCTCTGACTGGCTAAGAGTTCTCCACATAAGCTGGGCAGACTGGACGGTGAGGCTCAGGGATCTGACTGCTCAGCATATTCACAATTGTACATTGGTTTGGGGGACTGAATTGAGGTCCTCCAACTGAGCAATAACTCCAGCCACTTAGACATCATTTCTGTCTGTGTGCTGTACGTATGTGTGAGTGTGTGTATATGTGACTCTAGGTACATGTATTCATAGCAAGGTCAATGATGTCCTTGCTGTCCACCTTAATTTTTGAGACAAGCTCTCTTCCCGAATCTGGAAATCACTGATTTGGCTACACTGAGCTGCAGTGTCCTGCCTGTTTCCTGGTTTTCTGTTCTGGGTGACATGCATGTGCACGGTGCTAAACTTAGTAGGACGGTGCAATCTTGACTAAACTAAGCAACTAAGGCAAAACTGGTTCCACACCACAAACGTTCTAAAGACAGTTTATCAGCAGAGAGCTCAGCTGAACTCACCGAAGGACAACTAAGAATTTTCATATGCAAAAATAAATGGAAAAATACTTTATATCTCAAGACTGTGATATAATTATTACTTGCATAGCCAACACTCAACTAACAGCAAAAAGTAGTGAGTGATTAAGAGGGCAACAAACGGTACCCTGGGGTGTGCGCTGGTCTCTATTTCTAATTATCCCCCATTATAATTAAGGATCTAAGTATCTATGTTGCCCAAAAATAGGCCTAACCTTAGACGAAAATATTAACTACAGAAAGAGTAAATAGCCATTAAAAAGTCAAGACCAGGAAGTGTGATAAAAAATGATTAACGCAGCCACTCAGCTATAGATGGTGATATTTATTCTTGGGATTTTAGAATCATTAAAATGTGATCAGATTTATGATAAAGCATACAAACTTATGAGAACAAATCTTCGGGTGTTTGGCGGCCTAGATTCCTAGTTTTATTGAAAGCTATATATCTAGACCTACAATGTCAGTTACATGTACATAAGATTCTGCAGATGACGTCAGTGGCTCCACAGAATACCAAACCCTACAGTTAGGGGTATCTTAAACATACATTAAGAAAGTCCCTAATTCTTAAAAGCCAAGATTGATCGGGGGGTAGAGGCATGAAGTAACTACACAAGAGGAAGATAAATAACACATACTGAGGTTTCACTGAAGCCGTAAACATTATATGATCAGTTGCAGCATATATATGGGGGCATAATCATTCCAGAATGATGACTCTTTCATAAATCAGCCACAAGCTACAAGAATTATTTTACTTCAAATACAATCGTGAATCTAGAAAAGGAAAAGCCATGCTCAATGGCCATGTGTGACTCCCTCCAGAGTGTTAAGAAAGAAATTCATTCCCTTTAATGATTATGACATTTAAACCTTATATAATTAGCAATGCAGAGTAGTTTGCCAGTATTAACAAATATTACCAACCATTCTAATACACTACAAAGATTTTAACAGCTGGTGAACTGCTGCATGGAATTCTACTGTCCTGAAATTGTTCCATATTTTAAAAACTCAAAGCATTTCATTTTGGACAATTGTTATTAATAGCTTCCAGTCAAACCAATTACCAGACCTATGTAGTCAATATAAACTCATTCCCTGTTACTTCTTAGTCCACTGCTCTTTGGAGATACACACTTACTCATTATAAAATAAAACAATAAATTACGATCTTACAGTGAAACTTACAGTATTGACAGAAAAAAAAAACTCTGATCTTGTCCATTAAGAACCCTTAGAAGGTTCCATATGGAGCAGTCTCTGAGTGCCATTCCCAACCAGGTTTGCACCCCTGGTCCTCCTCAGCAACAGCACTGCCACACACAGCCTACACTCCTGCATCCCTGGTCCTCCTCGGCAACAGCACTGCCACACACAGCCTAC